TATGTGTAAAATCCATGTGTCTTTAAGATACAGGTAGTTTTCCTAGCACTCCCTTTCAGGGGGAAGATCAAACACATGCAGCAGACACTCCCCTGAGTGCCAGCACTCCTTCCTACCAACCACCCAAAGTCTAGCAACGTTCCTCATTCTTGGATGATCCAGGGGGCAATGATACCCTTAGCAAAGGAAATGCGAGAGGAAGCTGCAGGCCTCAGCACTGGGCCTGAATCATGAGCTCCACAGAGCCGATGTGCCTAGCTGTGCCAGGAGTCCACAGATCCCAGCAGCAGGGGTGCCAACCTTCAGCTGCGTCGGTAAGCCGGCTGTTTGGTAATGGAATTCCACCTTGGCATGGAAATGTTGCCGATCGATGCGGGAGATAAGCCCGTCTTCGGGAAAACCTTGGCTGGGGTTTTTATTTTGTTCATCTTGGAAGAAAAAGCCATCATCAACCTCGCCGTGCGCTTGGCTCCCTCACGCTGCCTCAGAAAATGATTAATTGCTCGCTACATAATAGAAGTCTTCCAGGAACAATAGACGCAGTTACTATGGGCTATTCATACACATTCGACTGAAGCCTGGTGGGAAGCTAAGCTCCCATCAGGGCTTCCCGCTGACACTGGCAACCATAAACCAACTTAGAGGCATAAACCAGGCAAAATAATATTGACGTGCACAAGCTCGAGGAGAACAGGGAACGAACTGCGCACGCTCCAGTTTGCTTGGATGTCGGTTGTTAATCTGGATTTAAGATTGAAGCTGGAGTCTGAAAAGATGGCAGTGTCTTTCCACCTGTAGCGGGGTGGGGAAGCGGGGTGGTCAAGGTAACTAGAGTACAATTACTAATTACTGATGTCCCCACCAAAGCAGATCTGTGCCCCAGTTGATCCCACAGGTTCCATCCACCTCTTCAGAAGCCATTTGTGCCTCATTCGCTGAGACGCTATGGAAACCAAAGGAGTCGACTCAGGACCCTTCTGCTCCCAAGGGAACCGAGTTCCAGAAGGAAATGGACACACGTGGAATGTTATTCTAATTGGCTGAAACTTCCAGATGATAGACAGATAATTCTTCAAAAATTCATATCATGGAGAACAGTACTTCAATTTTTCCTTGACAGCAACCAAAGGCCTTAAACACAGCCATAACAGTACTTCTTCCATGGGACGTTTAGAGCACTAAATAGTGACTTAAAAACTTATTCAAAAACAGGAAGTAGGGACTGGAGGGGTTAAGAGCACTGGCTGCTCTTCCAGAGGACTGGGGTTCTAGTCTCAGCACCCACGTGACAGCTCACACTTGTCTGTAATTCCACTCCCAGGGAATCAGACTCCCACACAGACACGTGCAGGGAAAATACCAACGCACGTGGAATAAAAATAACAAATCATTTAAAAAATTTAAAGCAGGAAGTTGGCTTTAAGCACTTCCAGTTACACAATCAATCCAAAGTTTCTTTTCTTCCTTCCTAACTTCCATCTTTCCATGTCTTTCTTTTCTCCTTGGAGACAAGGTTTTACTCCGGAGCTCCCCCTGGCTCAGAGCTCACGACATAGCCCAGGCTGGCCTCAAACTCATGGCAAACCTCTGGCTTCCGCCTCTCCTGTCCTCTCATTAGACCTTACCATTACCTCTTAACCTCTGCTTCCTAGCTGCCCCACCGGAAGTATTCTCTGTGCTGGGTCTGCTCTTTGAAGGCATCGGTGTCCACCCACAGACCCCTGCTTAATCCTCCACCCTGGCTGGGCAGATTTCTGAGAAAATGTTGTGACCCTCTTCAGATTTCATCCTTCCATCCATCCGAAGTGACTGCTGGAGTGCTGGCAGAGAGGTCTCAGGTTTACTCAGTGGAGGGTCAGCTGACAGAACTTGAGTTCTCCACATGTATTAGGAATCGTAAGGTTTCACTCCAGTCTCCACAGAGCAGATGAGACTTCCTCTCACATGCAAAGCTGATGCCCTCAGCCTTTCCCCTAACGGCTTAGCATTCATTATCCCTTGTGGTTTGAACGTAAGATGAACCCCACCAGTGGGATCTCACTTGAACACTTGGTCCCAGGTACTGGTGCTGTTTGGGGAGGTCCTGGAATCTTTAGGGGGCAGAACTTGGCTGGAGAAAGTGGGTCACTGTGGAGACAGGTTATAGCTGGTTCTGGCTCTTGGCCAACCCAAGATGTAAGGGGTCTTAGATGGAAGCTCCCACTGCCATAAGCCTGGCCACTCCAGTGGATCCAGTCACCCCTCCTTGCCACAACGAAACCTAAAGCATGAATCCTATTTTTAGACGTTTCACTATCTCTTCTTTCTTACACATATGAGGATAGACACAAGGCAAGAGAACTTGGGGAGAGGGAGTCTGCAGGGCTTGGCAGGGCCCCAGGTCGAACTCCTATGGAAAGACAGAAAGCTATTGTATATTTGAGGAACAATAGCAGAGGCCAGACAACATATTGGGGGAGCCAGATATGTGGCCCCCACCCTGCCCTCCTGCTCCTCCCTCTTCTAGGGGACAAAGACACTGCTTCCCACTTTATTTGCACCCCCCTCCCCGTCTGCAGGTCATACTGAACACTAAGTGGGTAGGTGGGCCTATGTGGAAGGGTCTTAGAAGTAAAGAACACGATTCAATCACACAAGTGCATGGAGGTCTTCAAGGGCTTTCAGCAGAAGCATAAGAGCATTGAGAAGATCCTTAAAACAGAGGTGGAGAGTTGCAAGACAACCCGGGAAGCCTACGGTGCACCCACAAGAAACAGAAGAGGACCTGAACAGTTGAAGTTGGGCATAGCTTCCCAAGTGCACCCAAATGAGGTGGCTTCGCTGTACTGATGCTTCAGGGAGGAACACGGGTGGTACCCTGTGTCTGACATTATCAAATGTACTGTTGAGTCGCGCCTGTCATAAAAAGGGCTGTGGGGGGGTGGGGTGGGCTGTCTGCCTTTAGGCACTCTGGGCTTTCCCCACAGTATGCATCCTCTGCAGGTGCATTTGTGGTTATTTTGCAAAAAAACCCGGAAACTTGCTTTGTTGTAACTTTCTCTCTGGGGTGGGGGTGGGGTGTGTGTGTGGGGTCTCTTTTCATTGTCTCTGTCTCCTAATTGGTATTTGTTATAACTCCCAGTTTAGTCTCATCTGCAAGTTTCACTGCGGCTCTGATTGCTCCTTTGTCGTTAATAAAAACACTCGGTGATTATTTACCATCCATTGTGCACTAACAATGCCTGAGGAGTTCTGCAGAGGAGCGCATTCTTCTCTGGGCAACCTCGCTCTCTCAGCCCTGAAAGGTTCTCCTCGAATAGCTGAGCACAATTGGGCTCTTGTCCTTCTGCGGATCCCAAATGAGGGTTACGACTGAGGATCTGTGTGCCCGGTGGATGCAGCAAGTCAAATCCCCAGAGAGTCTGTCACAGGAGGGAGTCTGCCTGCCTCACCTGGGGTTCCTCATCTACTGAGTAAACAGAAGTTAAGAATCTGTTACCTAGGGGCTGAGGGTATGGTTCAGTCCGTAAAGTGCCCACAGTACAAGTATGAGAACCTGAGTTCAGATTCCCAGCACCCATGTGAAGGCCAGATACGGCAGCATGTCTCTAGCCTAGTGTAATGGGACAGAGATGGGTGATCCCCGCAGCTCACTGGTCCACCAGCCCAGCTGAATCAATGAGCTCCTGGTGCGATTTGCGGGTGCAGTGTCCCGTGCACTGTGCTGCCAGTTAACGGCAGAATTACACTCCCTTAAGACATGCCAGAAGATGAACCCCAGGAACCCAGGAACCTGTGACTTGATCAGCAAATAGGGTCTCTCCGAGGACCAAGCTGAGTTTCTCAGTGTGGCCATGTCAGTCACAGGCACACAGCGGGGACACCACATGAAGATGGAGGCAGACTATGGTGATACGTATGCATGCTGGAGAAAGCCCAGGGCTGCCAGATACTACTACCAAGAGGAAAGAAGCCAAGAGATAGGCGTGAGTCTTCCCCACAGCCCTCAGAAGATTCCAAGACACTTTCATCCGGACTTCCCAACCACTACTCGAAAGAGTCTGTGATTATTTATCTTTGTTGTCGACTTGTGGATCACGAAACAGCGCCATCATTAGTGAAGCCTGTGAAAGCGTCTATGAAGACATTCCCACAGACTAAGGGGGAAAGTCCACCCTGAATGTGGGAGACATGATCTCATGGGCTGGTGGTCAATCTTCATCGAATCACCATGGAAACAGACCTCTGGGTGTTATCTCTGAGGGTATTTCTATCAGGAATTAACTGAAGAGGGGGGAATTCATCTCGAATGTGGGCCATGAAGCAGATTTTTGGAAAGAGCACGCCGAGCATCGGCACTCCTCTCCCTCCCCCAGCCTCACTCTCCACCCCAACTCCACTTGCTGACTGTGGGTGGAGGCCATGGGACCAGTCACCCCACACTCCTGTTGCCACACCCGCAACCTAGGAGTTGAAAGAAACCCTTCCCCCCCTACGCTGCTTTTGTCAGGGATTTGTTACAGCGGTGAGAAATCCTGATGTAGCTGAATGAGTGAATGAATGAATGAATGAATGAATGAAAAGGGAGAGAGCAGAAAATCAACCAGGTGCCAGCAGGCCCCTCTCTTGCTTCCGACTTGGCTGAAATGTAAGGAGTCTCAGGAAATACTTACGCTGGCATGGCCTGCGCCCTCTGTTCTCCACGGTAAGGGACTGGTGTCCCCTCCAACCATGGTCCAAAATGGTCCTGAAGTTGCTTCTGGGCGGTGTTCCCTCACAGCGATGAACGCAGCCAGCCTCAGCATATAGATGCCGTGTTCCACGTGACAACATCCCCTCTTGCCTCACCCTCCTCCCCTCCCACCTCCAGCCATACTCATTATCCAATTCTCAGGCCAGTCAATGGAGCAGCTACAAAAGATGGAGAGAGGCAGGATTTACAAAAATTCACCTGTATTCCAGCCAAAATATCTTTAAAAAGAAATCCCTTCGGAAGGGGAGACAGAGGACGTAAGACACAGTACATTTAAAATATGTATTGAAATTATAAATCCGACATTTCCATAGGATTCTAAAGTACAAATCACGACAGGAAAAGGCATTCGAACAGCTCTTATACATCACAGTGTTAGTGGTACAAAGTGTACTCACGTTTCAAAAACCACAAACGCAATTTTCTCAATGTGTGTGTGTGTGTGTGTGTGTGTGTGTGTGTGTGTGTGTGTGTGTGTGTTGGGTCTTACCACCACTTGTCAAATACAGAATGTATACGTGTGCACGTGCGTATGACTGACACATGCATGTTTTTGTACAAGATTAAAATACACCCGAGGCAAAGTATAAAAAAAAAAAAGGTCAGGCACGTGGCACACAGCTACACCTAACTGGAGGGCCCTGGGATCTTGGAAGACAGGATTATACAAGTCAGGAGGGCTGGAGACCGCGGGGGTTTTTAACTACCAAAAGGGCGGGCTCTCCTAATCATAGGGCACTGGCAATTGTTTGAGCATAAGCCCCTCCCTCCTGGCTGAGCTTTTTGGCAACAGCCAGTCACAATCTCTTTACCTTATTTAACTTTACAAGGGTTTGGGTTCATTGTGAGGGAGAAACAAGCTTTGGTATCTTTTTTTTTTTTTTTTTTAAAGAAAACCTTCATGAAATTGTATACATGCAAAGTGTTTCCCTTGATGACTTCAGTGTGATTTACATATATATATATATATATATATATATATTCACAGGTATGTTTATTAATCCGTAGGAATCGAGGACGTATACAAAATAAGTCCTCCCTCGTCCTTTCCCAACCCCTAATTTTTAAAGGCGACCAAGGGAAACACTTCTAATTCATAAAATAACCTTTTTCCCCTTTTCTAATTCCAATGGAAAAGATGAATTCATCTGGAAGTCAGATGTTCAAGCCTGACGATCCTTCCTCGCACGGGGACCGTGTTTAACGGGAACCTGGCCAAGGTCTCACACCTGTTTTCTGGAACAATACACTATAGAGAGTATTTGTTCTCTTCAGGACAGGTACTGAAGTGGGGAAGGCGCTGGGCCTGCAATCTGAGCGACTCCCGGGCGCTGAGGTGGTCCATAATCCATGGAGTCCACATCTTTGTCCCCACAGGAGCTGGCTCCCAGCTCCATGAACACCCATCACGACTTCGCCTCTGAAGGCATCACCCTGGTGAGTATATGAAGCCAGAGGCCGGAGGGCTACGCTTGGCAGGGATTAGCACACCCGGTAAGACTATGGCATGGTTAGCCACCCAAGGGCCTCAGATAACCCACAGGCCAGCAGGCCCTCAGCACAGATAGTCCTTCTAGATACGGCCCTACTACAGAGCCCTACCAGACAGCTCCCACTGCCTGCCACGAAGAGGGTTTTCCACAAGCTCAGGACTGAACAGTCTTCCTCCATCGGGAACAGGGTCTGTCTCAGGGAACTCCATTTTCAGTTCTGACAAACCTACACCGAGCAACAGAAACAGCACTACAACTGATCACAGGGCACTTCAAGCTGCCCTAGACTGATAGCAAGCCCAGTCACATCTGGGGGCCATCTTCACTAGTCCACGTGCATTTCACATCACACGTGGTTCAAGCCGAATGTCCATAAGAAACGCACGTGGTTGTCCCTGCTAAGAGGACTCCCACAGCGAACAAGGCAAGCTCATATATTTCAGTGTGATCTTGCTGGTGTTTCTAGAGGGAATGGATGAGTTAGCTTTTATTTTAAGAAATCTGAGTAAGTAGGCTTGATACAAAGGCTCAGGGCAGACAGGGATACTCTGTCCACACTCATTCGGCCCTAGCAACCCTATGGTTCCTGGCTGTGTCCAGTCATGGGCTCGGGAAGATTGCCATAGGCTGAGGTGTGAGTGGGTGGGGTTACAGAGGTGTGGGAACCTTCAGAAGTGTCCCAGATACCAGTGACTCCATCTTCAGTTACGGAGCCTGAGCTGCAGAGTGGGAACACAGCCTCCCAGGAGGCTGTCACTCCCACAACAGGGACAAATGAAACACTGGAGCAGACAGCAGTGGTCAGGCAAGGCAGGAAGGACCATGGCGTGACGTCTGCCTGTGCACCACTGGAACCAGGGTCCAGGCTGGCTGCCACCTCAGAAAGGCATGTTTAAAGGGTGGTGGCCGGGTGGTTTCACATACAAATCGCGGGCTTGAGGTCTCAGCCACTGATTCTCATAAAGTTGTCAGACCTTTCCAGAAAAGCCCGGCCACCTTTCCCCATGTTTCTAACCACAGAGGTTCAAGGCCAGGCTTCAGCCAGAATGAAGGTCTCAGAGGTCACACCTGGTCAGTGAACTTTTAAATTTCAACTGCCGGAGGACTTTCTGAGCGTGGTTTTGATATGGACTGAGCTTCTAAATGGCTTTCACTTAATAAAGAAAATCAATCCCAGAGGGTGAGAAGCCAGTGGTTGTCTTACCTCATTCACTGTCTATTAAAAATAAAGAAAATGACGTCATTTCTGCACAGGCAGCGTCTGGCGGGACTTGACACTGACCCCTAAGTGCAGGGTCACACAGACAGCCACTAAGGATGAGATGTGCTTGCAAAGACAATGCCTGGGAT